TGGAAGACATCCTGTGGAACCCTAGAGAGAGCCAGTCACTGTCCCTACCCTATTCCAAATCCTAAGGCCCAAGTGTTGTACTCTTGTTCTCCTAGTTCCACATTCTCACTCCACTCCTGACCCACCAAGTTCCTCATACATCCCAGTTCACTCAGAACCATGCATCCCATTTTCCCTATCTGCAGGAAAGAAGCAAACTTCCTTCTGGACCCAAGTCTGCAACTTCAATGCCATTCTGCTTTTGTGTGTCAACATATTCTTCTATGCCTATTTTGCCTGATGGTGTTCTTCTGGGAAACCAGAGGGTCATGGGAGAGGCCCTCAGGGATGTAGGAGATATTTGTCCTAATTAGACTTTTAAAAAAGTATCATAGACTCTTGGAGCTGTAAGAACCACCTAGTCCAACTCACTTATTTTACAGATGGGGCCTTGAGAAGGGAAGTGACTTGCCCAAAGTTAACTCAGCTTTCTGGTGGAAGGTGTAGGATTAAAACCCATGTCTCTTGACTCCTAGGCCAATACTATATCTATTAAACTGGGCTTCCTTTCTTTTCCTGGTCCAGAAGCATTTGGACAGTGGGAAGTTCTTATAAGAACATGTGTCCTTTGACAACAAGGTGTCCCACTACTACTACCACCATCACCACCAACAACCTTTGTGTTATAATCCTTGGAAACATCTTCAGTTTAGGCCACTACCTGAGAATTCCAGAGCCTGGAATAGGACTTAATTTGCCTTGAAGTCTCTAGGCTCTCTCCCTGCTTCCACTTATCCACTTAAGGCAATGTCAGAGAGACCTAAGTCTGCCACTAATTAGCTGTGTGACCTTGGGCAAGTCACTTTCCTTCTCTGGGACTCAGTTTCCTCATCTATTAAATGAAAGAATTGAACTAGATGATTTCTTAGGTTCTTTAGGGGTCTAATATTCTCTGACTCCATGAATTCTATGATTCTTCCCTTCTACCCTACCCCTAGCCTGGCCAAGTCCACACAAAGCACTCTCCACACGTTCAACTTCCCCAGAATGGGCTGCTTCCTCCCTCACACTTTGAATCTGTGACTCAGTGAATCCCTAGTCTTGCAATCTGGGTGGAGAACAGAGGAAAAGAGAAGTGTATGGGTCTTGAAGTTCAGTGAGGTTTGACTGAGAAGTCATGAGTCTGAGTGTAGTGGGGGGGGGGGGAGGGAAGCCCAAATAGCTTAGCTCAGCCCAAAGCAGTGTGGTATGGGCCTCTGAATGCCATCTAATAGAGCCAGAGGGTAACCAAACACCACAAAAAAAACTTTATAAGCCTCTCAGGGAGCACTTCCTGTCTATATCTCTTGGCTTCTGGCCAAACATCAAACACTTCTACAATGTTTATAAAGCTAGATGCAAAAGTAAATAAATCAGCTCATGGTTTGGTATGTCTCCCAGGAGTCCCTTAGCATGTACATTTTTGAGTCAGTCCCTCCTAAACTCAGGAATGTTCCCTGGGTCCCAGGCGAAGGCAATGTTGTTAGCCACGCTGTCACTCTCATGGGGATCATAGGAACCCTGATCTGGCACCCCTCATCCCATTCTTCCCCTTGTTTGCCTACAGGAGCCTTCACCATTGAACAACTCCAGTGTGCTCTAGGTCTCTGTCTTCTAGGACCCAGAGCTTAGGAGCTAAAGGTTAAGGGTACAGGGTTGTCAGTGGGATCAGTCTTGGGGATTTAGCATAGGTGTGCTGGTCTTTGGAGGGTCAGATCCCTTCAGGTTGTAGGCTGAGACTAGAGAGGGCTAACGTGGTATTTCATGCATTCCTCTTTCCTCCACCAAAATAGAACTGTGTGTGCCCAGTACCCAGCTGCACCCCTAGTCCTTGACCACTGCTTGTTGTATTGGCTTCCTTGGGTGGTGGTCCATGTCCTTATTACCTCACACTTAGGTCATTGCAGTAGCCTCCCAACCATTCTACTTGCCTATAGTTTTTCCCTGACTCATCATATATGCTGCCAAGGTCATCTTCCCCAAATTCTATTTTCATCATTTTTCTCCCCACTCAAGAATCATCATTGGCTCCCAGTTACTTGTAGGGCAAAGTCCAAACTACCCAAGGTCTTCCACAGTCTGGCCCCATGCCATGCTTCCAATCTATCTCCTACTCTGCCCTCTATGAAACTTGTGCTCCATTCATACTGGTTCTTTCACTATCTCCTCGATGATAATGATGATAGCTAATATTAGTATAGCACTTGGAGGTTTTCAAATCATTTTATATATGTTATCACATTGGTCCTCACAACAGCAATCCTGGGAAGGTGCTATATCATCTCCATTTCACAAAAAAGGAAACAGAGAGGTTAAGTGACCTACTTAGGACCACACAGCTAGTAAACGTCTGAGGCACAGTTCAAATTTAAGTCTTCCTGACTCCAAGTCCAACACCGGTAGGCTCCTTCCTACTTCTGGGACTTCCCTCATACTGTCTGCCCTTCTCACAATGTTTCTCCCATGGCCAAATCATCCCCATCCTTCTGGACCCAACTCCTCAGACTCAGATCCTCTTTCTGTACCATGCATTGGGTGTTGATTATGTATTGCCTGTTATTATCACATCTGTATATATCATGTCTGCCGCTAGACTGTAAGCTCCCTAAGAGCAGAGAGTGAATCTTGTCTTGTATCTGTGTGGGCCAGGACCTTATACTCAAAAGGTGTGGAATAAACATTTGCTGTTTGATTGGATGACGGATGTGTTATTGTCCCTAACCTAGGTTCATAAGATTTTAAGGCTGGAAAGGACCTCAAAAGTCATCTCCTCCAACCCACTTGGGGAAGTTTGTTCCCCTGGATTCTTGATGGCGTCAACATCATTTCTTTTCTTTTCTATTTTCTATTTTCTTTTCTTTTCTATTCCAAAGGTCCAAGCATAGGCCAAGGCACTCTGAATACAATACACCTCAATACAGGGTTGTTGGTGGATGGATACATGGATTCCCCCAGTTCTATCACAGGTTCTCTTCTATCCTATCAAGCATTTGACCAGTGCAGAGCTGAGCCGTGGGTTCCAAAGTCAGATTATTTCAGAGAGGCCCTAATTATCTCCACAAGAGTCATAGTAACATTTGGAGGAAAAGGATAGCAAAGAATTGGAAACAAAATAGATGCCTATTGATTGGAAAATGGTTAAACAGATTGTGACATAAGGATATAATGTAATATACTTTGCCATAAGAAACAACAGATATGAGTAAGTCAGACAAGCGTGGGAAAACTGAGATAGAATGAAGTGGCACATAGCCAACACTTAATGCTTTTTCATTCATTCATTCATCCTAGTAAGCGGAACCAGAAAAGCAATATACACAATGACTATAACAATGTGAATGAAAAACAACAACAAAACTTGAACGTTGAGCAATTATAATGACTGAAGTTTGACTCTGAAGAAGAGGAGAGAAAATGAAGCTCCCTCCACACTTTGCTGATGTAAGGGAGGGACTAGGGTATGGAATTGTGCATGTACCATTACTTTTTTCTTTTAATCTTTGTTACAAGGGACTGTTCACAGGGCAGGAAGACATATTTGGAAATGCAGATGATATGAAAACAAGAAATAATAATGATAGCTAACATATATATCATTCTGCTTGCTATGTGTCAGACACAGTGCTAAGCACCTTATAAATATTATCTCATTTGATCCTCACAACAACCTTGGAAGACAGGTGCTATTACCCTTATTTTACAGATGAGGAAACTGAAGCAAACAGAGGTTAAACAAGGCCAGATTTGAATTCACGTTCTTCCTAACTCCAGACCCAGGGCTCTACCTACTGCACCACCTAGCTTGCCTATAATAGTAATAATAATATATAATTAATAGTCATTAATTATAATATAATAAATTATATACAAATTATATAAACATAAAATGTTATATTATGTTGTCATATAATATATAAGTATAATAATTATTAATAACATATTTCAAAGAATGCTTTCAGAGAAGCAGTAGGTCTCCAGGAAATTGAGAAAAAACAACAACTTCTCTGAGTCCTTAGCAGAGGAAATGATCACAGATTTAGAATTTGAAGGGATCTCTGAGGCCATCTAGTTCAAACCCTTTATTTTACAAATAACGAAACTGAGGCCCAGGGAAAGTAAGCAGTTTGCTTAAGGTCACACAGATGGGATCCATAAGAGGCAAAATTTGAATCCAGGTCCCTTGACGCCAGAGCTGGTCTTTTTCAACTTTACCAAGAGGAATTGACCTTATTCCTAATTCCTAAATCCCTTAATCCCCAAGGATTTGGGGAAGGAGGGGGTTGCCTCTTTTTATATCCCCAGTGCTTAGCACAGTGACTGGCACATATTAAACACTTAATAAACGTTTATTGATTCATTTATTCAGACAGTGTCTAGTCATTTTAGTGACTATATCTTCCCCTAATAATGTACAGCCTGATTTTTCCTGGACAGTCCTGATTTAAAGAAACTTTTTAAATATGAGGCAGGGCAGGGCAAAAGGAATGTCCTTTGTCAGAGCACGTACCCCAATCTTGGGTTTGGAAAATCTAATCACTTTATCTATATCTCCTTTAATAAACACCCTCTTTTCCCCCACCTCCATTCCTGACTTCTCAAGTTTTCCTCTTGCCTTTTGATGCCCCATCATAGAAGAAATATTCCTTGAGAGATCTTCTTTTTTTGCTCTCCTGTCCCTCAATGTAGCTGCACAATAAGGACAGAGGAACTAATTTGTTTATATTTTTTATATTTACTTTTCTATTTTTGCTCCACACCTCTCTCCCCACCCCAAGTAAAAGGGCTTGAGCTGTTTAATTTTTGTCTCTCTATCTTCATCAATAACACAGTGTCTGACACAAATAGGTGCTTAATTAATGATTGTTAAATTGAATTTAATGGAGTTAGGGGATTCAAACCAGCACATAATGACTAACTCATTTCACTGAGGATGGGAGCCTGGAAATAAATACCAAGCCAGGTAAAAAACAGATATGTTGGAGTCCCTGGTTCAGAGAGGGAGAGAAACCTCCTGTGGATCTCTGTCCCTTTGATATCAAGGAATGATAGAATTTCAGAGTTAGAAGAAAACCTATGGATCATTCAGACCCCACCAAAGAAAACCCAGGCTGTCTTAATTCCCCCTACAACAAGCAATGTACCAATCCCCTCTGCAACAGTTCTGGCAGGTGATTACCCAGCCTTCTCTTTATTTTAAAAAAATGTTTTATTTATTCTTTCTGTCTTTACAACACAGTTATTTCAACCCTCACCCTAGCTGAATCCTTCCCTGTGACAAAGAAAAGCAACTTAACAAAAACATCCAATAACAGTGACTTTTTCTAACAATGTGTATAGTATTCTGTCCTAGTAATCTTCCACTTCTCCATTAGGAGGGGAAAAACATGCTTCATTATCTGTTCTCTGGGATCTTTACTGGTTTTTCCATTACTAGAGTTTAATTTCATTCTAGTCATGTTTTTACATTATTGTGGTCCTTATATTTATTGTTCTCCTGGTTCTGTTTATTTTGCTCTATATCATTTCATACAAATCTTCTGATGTTCCTCTTAATTCCTCACGTCATTTCTTACTGAACAATAATATTCTTTTACATCTATGTAATATAGTTTCATCCATTATTATCTAATTAGTGGATATCCACTTGGTTTCCAGTTCTTTGCTATCATAAAGAGTGTTGTGAAGAATATTGTAATATACATTGGACCTTTGTTTCTATCTTTGACTCCCTTGATGGGATCATTGAGTCAAAATGTCTGAACAGTTTAGTAACTTTTCTTACATAATTCCCAATTGGCATCTAGAAAGTTCCGGCCACCTCACAGCTCTACCAATTGTGCATCAATATGCCTGTTTTCCCACAGCCCCTCCAACATTGACAATTGCCAATTTTTTGTCATCTTGGCCAATTTACATAGTATAGAAAGAAATTCCAGAATTGTTTTCATTTACATTTCCCTTACTATTGGTGATTTGTGGAGCATGTTTTCACGTGGTCATATATACTTGCAGTCCTTTTGAAAACTTTTTGTTTATATTCTTTGACCACTTATCTACTGGGAATAGCCTTTGCTTTTTAGTACTTCCATTACTTAGAAATTCACTTTTTCTTAGAATAGCCTGTTCCATTTTGTTAACAGCTC